AGTAATGAAACACGACCTTAAAACTAAGTCTCACTAAATATTAAAAAAAAGCTTTAATTTATAATTTCTTAAGAACGTCCTTAAACTGGGTGGCATAAAATTGATTCTTGACAGGCATTGCTTGGAACAGTGCACCACTGGATCAATTCAATTCCTATTTTCGTTTTCAAATCCTACCGAAAGTTTCTCTGAGACTTGCTTGCGAATCAACACTTCTCCACGAAGTAATTGGAAAGGGACTGACGTGAATCCACAGCCCTTTGATACTCATCTTCATACTTAGATGGTGTTTGGATAGACTTGTGCGGCTGCGGTTAGAAAAAAAGCAATGTAATACATGTTTGGTTAACAATGAACCGCAGTTTGTTTTTATGTGGGTCCCAATACAAATTGTGGTTCAATTGCAAAAAATGAAAAGCAATTATGTATTGCTTTTCATGCGTTTCTTCTCTCTCATCACCGATAATTTCACAATTAACTTTCCCAACTGTCCTTTGTCCCTCTTTCTTCAATTTCTCAACGGTCACAAAAAAACCTAACAAATTAATGGTGGAAGGTTGTTGCAGATCAATAACGTGCCCAGTTTCAACATTTTTCTATACTATTCTTTCATGTACTTCACCTCTTTCTCACCACCGAAACTTTCTCATAACCATTTTCAATTACTGTCCTCACAACCTCACAAATTTTTTTCTTGTTTCGGTTGCAGATCAATTTAATTGATGAACTAAAAACCCTAATTTCCTTCCCCAAAATGTTCTCCTTTCTCTTCTCTTGCTATAACCCCGTTTCTATTTTGCCCTAAAACCACCAACACTGGAGCAAGCTTCTTCCCCTCTGTCCATTCTTTCCAAATGAAGATTGAAAACATAAACCTTCACTGATCTGTCCCTCCACTGTTACAATTGCAGAAAACCCCCAAGAGATTCGTGCTGGGAAGGTCCACGAGCGAGATACCAGTAAGTATTATGCGTTCCCCTTGTCAATTTTGTTTAACATATTGCTCAAAATCTAATTTCTGTAATGGGTCTCTATTGTTTTTGTCTTTACAGAACAAAGCTGCAGCACCGTGGTGGTTTGCAGAACAAAGAAAGGAACTGAGGTCAGTTCCTGCTTTATATCCATCTTCATTTTCGTTTTTTTAGATGAAAAATTGTATGTTTGTGCTGCTGCATGCTCTATTATTATTAACACTGTAATTGTTGAATTGATCTACGAGTTTGTTGTTGCTGCATGTGTTCTATCTATTGTGCCTTCGTCAAATTTTTTGAATTTATAGCAAATTTCAGTGTTTCTTCTGCTTGCCCTCTGCTTTGCATGTGTTTTTAATTTTTTTCTACTTGAAAACCTGCATTTCTGTGATGCTTTTGTGTTCTATGTTACCCATGTCAATTTTGTAGAAAATTGTATGTTTGTGCTACTGCATGCTCTATTACTATTAACACTGTAATTGTTGAATTGATCTATGAGTTTGTTGTTGCTGCATGTGTTCTATTTACTGTGCCTTCGTCAAATTTTTTGAATTTATAGAAAATTTCAGTGTTTCTTCTGCTTGTCCTCTGCTTTGCATGTGTTTTTAATTTTTTCTACTTGAAAACCTGCATTTCTGTGATGCTTTTGTGTTCTATGTTACCCATGTTTATTTTGTAGTAATTGTAGCTCAAAATCTATTTTATCTTCTGGGTCTCCATTGTATCTATTTGCAGGACAAAGCTGCAAAACCGTGCTAGTTTGGACACCTAAAGATAGACTGAGGTAAGTTCCTACCTTATCTCCATCTTTATTTTCAAATTTTTAGATGAAAAATTGCATGTCTGTATACCTATATAATCAATTACTGTGTGTTTTATAATTGAAAAATTTCATAACTATTGCTGATTGTCTTCTGTTTACTGTGCCTTCGTCATTTGTTTTGAATTTAAAAGAGTTTAATTGCTTCCATATATTACTTGTCTGTTGTTCTTTGTTCTGGTTTTGTTTTTTGTAGTCTACTACCAGCTGATAGTGCTGCTGCTGGATTATTTGCTTCCTGGAAACAATGTGATGCTTTGAAATTTCATTTATGTGTTGTTCTTCATGGTCTGATATGTTTGCTATGCATATTGATGTTGTTTCTGTTTGAGCAACCGTATATTTCTTTACTATGCGTGTGTTTATTGTAATCGTAATGAGTGCCCTGTTAGTATGTTGTGTAGGATTACTTTTATTTATACTTGTGCAATCAAAATTAGAATGTTGAGTTCTTTTTTTTTTGTGTTTGCATGTTGCAAAAGAAAGCTGGGTTTCTTTGAATGTAGAAATACATTATGTTCTATTTGTTTTTTCCCGGCTATTTTTAGCTTCCAAACAGCATGACGGCAATGAAGTGTTGCTTGATAATTTAAATATTATCTCATGTCTGAAACTCAGTTTTTTGAATAGTTGAAATTAATAGGTTTCAATTAGTTTTTATTACAAATTGACTTAAACATTCTCATTCAAATACATGCATGGTTAATGTTTGTTGCTAACCACACAGCTTTTGTAAATGCTGAACATTGAGTGTTTTATTATTGTTTAAGTCCACGGTTTATGTATGTGCCACAATGTAATTGATATCATTTATTGATTTCAAACTTTTGTTAAATGTGTTAAAAGATATCATGGAAGGTCTTGAATCTTTTGATAAGGCTGCTTGGACAAAGGAAATGTTGCATATATTTTGTGATATATGCATTAAAGCAATTGATATGGGAATGAGACCTAATACTCATTTCGATAAAATGGGGTGGAAATTTCTTATAACATCATTCAAAGAACAAACTGGCCATGCATTCACCAAAACACAATTGAAAAACAAATGGGATGGATGCAAAAAGGATTGGAGGATATGGAATAAACTAGTTTTGGAAACTGGTGTTGGCTGGAATAGTGAGTTAGGCACAATTGCAGCTAGCGATGAGTGGTGGAAACAAAAAATTCAGGTACATTCCTTATCATCCTAATAATTTCTTTTATTGTTGTCGAATTCCAACCCTAAAATTTGAGTAGTCTGATCCTTCATTATTTGATTTAATTTATATGCAGGAAATTAGAGGAGCCAAAAAATTCAGACATGTCGGTATTGAGCCGTCTTTGAAGAATAAATTTGACCGAATGTATTCCAACATTGTCGCAACTGGAGCGTATGCATGGGCTCCTTCATCAGGTGTACCTGCTGGCAGTGATGTTGATCCTGGTACAAGCAATGCCGACATTGCTCATGATGGGTTGGAAGAGGGCAGCGGTGATTCGGAGGAAGATGTGATTCCAGATTTCCAGACTGACATGGCTCGAACGGTTGGAGGGATAAATATGTCTAGCAGCAGCAACACAAAAAGCGGTGGCAAAAGAAAAGAACGAGATCATTATGATGTGCGAGGTAGAAAGAAGAAAACAGCTGGAATTGGTGTTCAGCTGCTGTCAAGGTGCAATCATTTACTTGAGAGTATGTCGACTAAGAGTGATTCGACTTCTGTGAATATGGATCGCGAAGGTTGTAGTATTCGTGAGGTGATGGCTGAGCTGCACTCAATTCCTGGAGTTTCAATTGAAGATGAATTTCATGACTTCGCTACGGAGTATCTCAGTTTAAGAAGGAAAAGAGAAATGTGGGCTAGTATGGGTGATAAGCAACAGAAGTTGAGATGGTTGCAACGAATGTATGCACGAACTAGACGTGCTTAGTTGACATGGTATGATTTAAGTTTCTTAATTGTTAATCAATTAACTATGTCCAAGTGCTTATGATATTTATACATGTTTATTTTTTTATTGCAGCGTAATGAGATGCCGGTTTTTAAAAGAGTAGTTATCATTTGCTGAAGTTTGTCGGAGACATTGTTTCACAAGACATGTCGATATTAAGACATATGAGCATATCTGTTTACGGTAATTTATGTATTGTTATATTTATTAAAATGCTTTTCGGGAGTTAAGAGACTTGTATGAGAAATTGCTGGTTGTAATGTTGTATTTTATCTATGAATTACAATGTTCAATGGTTAATGTTAAATGGTTGACTCTTTAATGGAATTGGTTGTTAATTTACCTTAAATGTTTTGTTAACTGTATTTTTTTTCTTTGCTGCCATGAGGTATGATAGGAACAATAATACATGTTGTTGTGTTTCTTTCTTTATGTATAATTTTTTCAGTTGGTAGCTACTATGAGATTGACATGCTGTTGGTGATTCTTTCCTTAGCTGTATTTGTTTCCATTGGGTAGCTACTGTGAGCTTGTGATGCCTGAAAAGAAACCCTTTTTGTAGCTGTCGTGAGGTCTGATAATACATGCTGTTGTGTTTCTTTTCGTGGCTGTAATTTTTTCAATTGGTTAGCTATTGTGGGATTGACATGCTACTGGTGACTTTTTTTTTGGCTGCATTTGTTTCCATTGGGTAGCTACTATGGAGGTCTGAAAAGGAACCCTTTTTGCAGTTACTGTTGTTGTTTTTTTCCTTTGTTGCCATGAGGTCTGATGGGACTAATGTAGTTGGTGTTTCTTAATTTTTATCACGTTGAAAGCTTGGTCTTGCTGCTGGTTTTTAACTTGAAACTCTGTTTTTATTCCTTTCAACTCTAGTTTGAAAGACTTCATGTCAGGATGGTGTACATATATGAGCTGTAAAAGTAACATTATATGCTACTTTTACAGCACATACATACATGTGAATGTACTTATGTTGAAAGCTGAAAAATTGTAAAATAGAACAAAAGAGCATTGAAATTTTTCTATATAAAGAGGAATGTTTACATAATATTTTTCAGTGAACTACCTTTCTTCATAATAAGCTTCTCAAACCTTTCAATTGCACCAAATACAAGCAAGTATAATACTCCTTTTTTGTTGGCTTTACAGGTATGGAAAAAACTTATGTCGCACAAATTCTTTTATAGTTTTTTTTATTGAATGATATTTAATTATTTAAAGTTTTTTATTAACAATATATTTTTTTTTCTTGTTTACATGTAATTGAAGTTATGGATGATCCACAATTTAATGACATATTTAATGAAGATTTCGATGGTAATTATGATAATGTAATGAACCACATTGTAGAACAAATTAATTATCCTAGTTGTGAAGGTAGTGGTGCTTCAGTTGATGGTGCCGGAGATGATAGTAATGGAAACGACTCTGATAACAGTAATGACGATGATGATGCTGACGTTGATGATGATAGTGATGGTGACGATGCATTTATTATAAGGAGGCATTTTGAGAGGAAAAAGTTAATTATATGCACAGCTGGAGCTATAAACATGTATTTTATTAATTATATGTATAAAGAACCATGTATGGTTTCCTATAACACAGGGATGCGTTGGTTGACGGAGGTTTTAAGAGGTCATTGGAAACGAAGTGTTAACATGTTCAGGATGGACGCAACCACTTTATTGAGTTTATGCACCGAATTAGAAATGCGCCATGGCTTAAAACCGTCAAGAAGAATGAGCGTTATTGAAAAGGTGGCAATGTTTCTATTTACAATAGCAGTTGGGGCGTCAAATAGACAAGTGCAAGAAAGATTCCAGCATTCAGGTGAAACTATTAGTAGATGTTTTAAACAAGTGCTTAAATCATTATGTTTGTTTGCTGTGGAAGTCATAAAACCAGTAGATCCACAATTTATGAGCACACCAAGAGAAATTGCTATGAATCCAAGATTTATGCCACATTTCAAGGTAAGATGAAATTTTTTTATAATTAAGTAGTTTAATTAAGTTTAATTAAGTTGTTTAGAGGAGTATGAAATATGTTATAAATGTCTATGAGTACTATAAATGTTTTTATGGCATGTAGAATTGTATCGGTGCAATTGATGGAACACATGTTCGTGCCTGCATACCATCTGCAAATCAAATTCCATTTATTGGAAGAAAAGGTATACCAACACAAAATATCATGGCTGCTTGTAGTTTCGACATGCAATTCATGTTCGTGTGGGCAGGATGGGAAGGTAGTGCACACGATACGCGTATTTTTCTTGAGGCCATTGACAATAACAATATCAAATTTCCAAAACCTCCAGAAGGTTGTGATTTTAACTAAATTGAAGATTTGGTAATTGAAGGAATATATTTATTTTCCAGTGTTGTTTAAAATTACCATGTTATTTTTTGCAGGAAAATATTATTTGGTTGATGCTGGATATCCAAACGAGTATGGGTATTTGGGTCCTTATAAAGGTGAGAGGTATCACTTCCAAGAATTCAGGCGTCGTAGACAACCAAGTGGTCAGAAAGAAGTGTTTAATCGTGCACACTCGTCATTACGTAACGTGATCGAACGTTCTTTTGGGGTATGGAAACAGAGGTGGAAAATTTTGCAAAACATGCCTGGTTATCCATACAAGACACAAGTTGAGATTGTAGTTACATCCATGGCACTACATAATTATATTAGAAGGAGGTCACAAGATGATGCAGTTTTTTCTGAGTATGATCGCAACCCCAATTTAATTCCAGATGACTTTTTACCTGATATTGTTCAGGCTTTAGTCATTCAAGGCTCACAGAGGCCTTCACGTATGGATTTTGTACGTGATGGAATTGCAAATAGTTTGATGGAACAATAAAGGAGTACATTAATGTATAAGAATTTTTCATTTTGTTATGTAATCATAATTACAAAATACCTATGTTTTGGAATTATATATATGTGTTTATATATGTCTTTTTAATTAATTCAAATCAAATATAAAATACAAAGCATATTAACCAAACACAAAAAAAATATTTTTTTTAACCACATTTTTACCAAACACATAACTACTTTTTTTTCACCACAACTTCAACCACAGTTTTTTAACCAAACACAAGAAACTGCTTTTTTTAAAACCACAATTTCAACCACAGTTT